CCTTCAAAAAGACAGGACATGCCTCATTTTTGGGTTCTTGCTTCCTATCGTCAGTCAGTGAAAGGGACTTGTAAGAACCCTATAGGTCTCAAGTTCCTGGGCCAGCTCCCGATTGGTCACATGCAGGGGGCGCACATTAGAAATCACCACCCTCACTGCTGGGGTGTCTAGGGGCGTGACAAAATAGCGTGCATCTGCAATGTCCAGGCCCTCTGTGCACACCCTGTTAACTTGGGTGGAATCACTCAGGTAAATCATTGGGACTGTGTTAACGTGACCTGCGTAACGTATATTATGCTGTCCCAGGAGACTAGCAAAGGCAACTGCGCAGACCTTGACCCCGATGTAGGGAGGGGTGTGAAGCCTCAAGCCATGGGTAATGGGGAGGTTCTGAGAGGCATCCTCATGCCAGCTGCTGGGTGTAGGAACAGCCATTTCTGCTAGGACAGAGTTAATTTCAAGCTGTAACTGAGAAGAAGAAAAGCAAAAATGTTTATACTAACTAAAAAGATAAGTGTCATTAAAGCCTAAAAGGGAGGGGGGAAGGGGCTGGAAGGGGAAAAAAAACAGAACAGAAAAAATGAAAAAAAAAGAGGAAAGGGGGGAAATAAGAGCACCCCTCAGAAGGCAAGTTATTGGAAAAGATAACTCCCCACAACAAGCAAGCAGAAAAAAAAGAAAGAAAGGAAAAGAGACAGTAAGAAAAAAAGGTTATAAAAAAGCAAGTGTCAGACAAAGAGACTGGAAGTACAGGGGGAAGGGACAGAGAGGAGAGAAAAAGGAGAAAAAAATGCTATGAAAATGCAAGAAAAGAATCAGAAAGTGAGCTAAACAGAAGCTAGAGACCTTTAGACAGGTAGGAGTCAGAAAAGAAAAGAGATAGGAAGCTGGGGAGTCTCACACCCCACGTAGCTCCAAGCGAGCCTTGTCCACTACATCAAGAAGGGAAGGAAGGAAGGAATGCAATGCTTTGAGTAATTGTCCCAAAACACAATGAAGATGTCAGTGCTACATTGCTTTTTTCAATGCTTCTTCTTAGACAGTAGCTCATCTAGTAGGCAACCTTTGATCCTCTGGATCATGGTGTCCATGTAAGAAGTCTAGTCAGATGCCTAATGAATCCATGTGTGGTTGACAAGCCCGATTCAAGAGCAACACAGCTTGTTACAAGTTTCACAAAGCCATATGTTGTCTGAGTTGGAGTTGAAGTTTACAGCATGCCGCTTTATTCTTTCTCACTTTGTTTCCATCCTCTGTATCAAAGCAAATCCACTTCATGTTGAGCTGCACCCAGTGCCAGATGTTCCCTCCAGATCACATAGGATTCTGTGTATTCCTCCTAGCTTTCTATGTTGATGTTGAACAACATAAAATTTTGGCATACATTGTGGTACTGCTATAGAGGGTGACCCCAATTTCTAGAGCAATCTTGAATCTCAATGTACAAAATATTCTTGTGGATATGGCCTCCTCCCATTCTCTTAACATGGCCAATCCATCTCAACCTTCTCTTCTTGACAGTGGTTTTTAAGTGTGCCAGTCTTGTGTGCTCCAGTTCCTCTATGTTTGGTGTTCTGTCTTCCTACTTTATTTTCAGGATCTTAGTTCCTCTTGGGCATTAGCTAATTTATTAAAAGGATTACAACCATTTATTTTAATTTTGACAAAGATTGATTCAGAAAACAACAAATAAGATGCTTTGTCTATGCTTGGACATATCAAACTCCTTTGTTCACTGTGACAACAACTCTGGCTCTTTTGAAAGCCTCTCAGATATAAAGATCTCCGTGACAGATGGACAACAAGTATCAGAAACACACAAGTTGTTTCTGTTCTACCCATTTAGCATGTATTGCAGTCTAGGAAGAAATGTAGGTTGTTTGTCATTATAAAATCTCTCTCTTTCCAAAACATTGCTTAAATCAGGCATACTTGGAGGGAGACTGTTCTCAGTGGTGGCAGATGAGAGAACAAGGAGCAATAGTCTCAAGTTGCAACAAGGGATGTTTAGGTTGAATATTAGAAAACATTTTCTCACTAGGAGGGTAGTGAAGCACTAGGATGGGTTACCTAGAGAGGTGTTGGAGGTTTTTAAGACCTGGCTCAACAAAACCCTAGCTGGAATGCACTAGTTGAGGATGGTCCTGCTTTGAGCAGGAGGTTGGACTAGATGGCTACCTGAAGTCCCTTCCAACTCTCATTGTCTATGATTTTATGATTCTACTCAATCATGGGCCAAATCTGTACCCCAGCATCATGCCAACTGGCCCACAGGGTTCCAACCTAATTTGTGGGGAGCCCTGCGGGCCATGGCCCTGTGCTGTATGTTGGGTGTACTGGGCAGTGTGGGAACTGATTTTGGCATATGTGGGTGTGGGAGCAGGTGTTGTGGGGCCTTCAGCCCAAATCTGGCTGGGTGAAGTCAGCAAAAGGCCCAGAATTCTGTTCCCAGGTGTGTGGGGGCAGTGCACAGCCCCCCGAAGGAGAACCCAGCTGGGTGTGGGGCGACATAAGGACCCTGGAGCCAGAGCCTGATCCTGGTGAAGCACAGGTGGTACAGGGCTCCAGGGCTCAAACCAAATGTATAGGAGTGGAAGGGGGAGCCATCCAAACACTGAACCGACCCTGCACCACTTACCTGTTCTATGGAGCCAGAACTGTGAGCACACATGGTTTAAATAAATATTCATTATTTTAAAGGTTGTTCTTTAACATCACAAGTTGCAGTTTCCCATAGTAAGGAAATAGGGATACCTCCTCAGAGCTGAGGACTGGTGAACTGTTGGCTTACAAAAGGCATTTTTATTATTTTTATATATCATAGTGTGTTATGTTAAAAAATGAAGGAATATCTTATAGATTTAAGTGAAATTTCCTGTGAAGAATTTTCTTTACTTAAAAAAAGAGAAGGAAAATATATTTTGGAAACTTCAGAATTTAATTTTGAAAACATATTTCATTGTTAATGAAACCTGTTTAACTTTGTAATACATCTTTACTCTGCTTCACAACATAGTAAGAGAAGTGAATGCATTAATGATTCTCCAACCATTTGGGTTGGTCTAATAAAAGATATCAAATTCACCCAAGAAACCTTGTCTGCATTATCTTGACATTTTCTGTCTAGCCTTTTTATACAAAACAGAAAATATGTTACACTCTTGTACAACACAAATGTCAATTTATGGCATAATATGACAAAGCATATAGTACAGGTTACTACTACAGTTATGACATAATGAAACAGTTAAAAATGCCATCATTTTTACATTTGCTTTTTAATCAATAATGAGGACACCCAGATAGTACATATGAATTATATTGTTTCTAGGTCATACGATCATAGGAAAGTAGAACTGGACAGGACCCCACAAGGTCACATGTATTCCTGCTCAGGGAAGGAACATCTCTTACTAAACCATCCCAAGCATGTGTCTGTCCAACCTGCTCTTCAAAATTTCCAGGGAGAGAGATTGCATAACTTCTCCAGCTAGCTTCTTTCAATGCTTGAACATCCTCATAGTCAGAAAGCCCCTCCTAATCTCCAACCATCATTTCCTCTGCTTCAGCTTAAAGCCATTGCTCCTAGACCTGTCCGTTTTGGCCTCAGAGAAAAGCTCATCTTCATTTTCTCTCTGATCACCCTTCAGGTATTTCAAAACTGCTATCAAATCACCCCTCAGTCTTCTCTTCTCCAGATTAAATAACTCTACCTCTTTCAGCCTTTCCTCATATACCATACCTCCCAAGGCCTCTAAGAAATTTTGTTTCTCTTTACTGGCTGTTTCCTAGTCTGTCCACATCCTTCTTGAAGTGCAGTGCCCAAAGCTAGACAGAGTCCTCTAGGTAAGATTTCACCAGTGCTGAATAGAGAGGAAGAATCACTTTCCTTCATTTGCACATGGTGCTCCTGTTAATGCAACCACAAAATGGATCTACATGCTCATACAGGAACAGGTTCCAAAATTTAACCTGGAAGTAACCAATGATAATCAGACATTAGATGAAGGAGAAGGAGGTGCCTCTGTTTACTTGGAGCAGGA